GGGGGGATGAGTGTCTGTAAATTATTTAAGAGGCATGGAGGCTATCTAGGAAAAGTGACATTAAATTGATTTTTGGATCATCTTGCTTGATTGCATTAATAATTTAAACAGCATTTTGAAATAGCTGCTTGGCATGGGGTTTTAAAAGCGCCTGTCTCGGCCCGTTTCACCTTCAAAAACAGACTCCAAGTGGAGGCAGCACTGCAGACCCCTAACCCAAGCTCTATAAATGGCTTGCAAATTTCGCCAACGGGCCTTATGTCACCTTGCCCTTTTTGCGCTCCCTGTGCTGCTCCTTAGGTGACTCTCCCCAAAACTAGGGAGGGCCCCTTCTGAGACACTTTTTCCACCCCCCACTCCTCCTTCAGACTCAGATTTTGTTTATGAGACCGTTGTCTAGGCTGCGGCTCTTCCTCCTGTCTCCCAAGGTCATTCCCACAGATCATTACAGACTATGAGTTCTAGTCCTCCCTTAGGCATGAAAGCCGGCTGGGTGAATTTGGGCCAGTTCCTCTCTCGCAGCCGAACCTGCCTCACAGGGTGGTTGTTGTGAGGAAAACAGGAGGAGCGAGCATAAGGTCTGTAGGATGCCTTGAGCTGACCAACACAGAGATGGGATAAAACCTAGATAGACAGCCAGCCAGCCAGCCAACCAGTTTGGTCTAGTGGTGAAGGCCTCAGGCTAGAAAGCAGGAGACAGTGAGTTCTAGTCCCACCTTAGGCATGAAAGCCAGCTGGGTGACCTTGGGCCAGTCTCTCTCTCTCAGCCCATCTCACCTCACAGGGCTGTTGTTCTGGGGAAAATAGGTGGAGGAAGGAGTATTAGGTGTGTTCACCACCTTGAGTTATTTATAAAAATAATAAAGGTGGGATAAAAAAATCTAAAACAAACAAATGAACAACAAAATTTAGAAGCAGCTTGACTCCAAACTACTCTAAGCAGCCTACACTTTAAAGGCATAGGACAATAAAAGAATATATTAAAATATATAGGACAATAAAAGAATAAAAGAAAAATAATAAAGGCGGGATAGAAAATCTAAAACAAACAAACAAATGAAATTTAGAAAAAGCTTGACTCCAAACTGCTCTGGGCAGCTTACACTTTAAAGGTATAGGACAATAAAAGAATA